CACCAAGCCAAGCCCTTTGGGGTGGGTGTGGGGCAGTGCTGGAGATTGAACTCAGGTCCTTGGACCTGCTGGCTAAGTACTCAGTACTGAGCTACAGCCTGAGCCCAGCCCATTCCTTCTTTGAAGAGCACTATGTGGTTATGGACAGGAAGAGGGATGATACAGCTTCCCTTTTACTTTTACATTTGGTCATTGGGACACTTTCAAGCTTCTTCATGCTGTACTTCCCCAAGTCCAGCTACTGGACTTCGATTTAAATTTTTACATTATGTGCAGTAATTCCCCCTAACTTCCATTTCTGCATCTCTAAAGCAAACAGCATCAGACAGAAAGTCACTCAGCAAATGCTGACCTTTGGAATCACTCTAAAGCCATCTGTAACTGGGAATTAAGGAGGTACAAGGCCATACAAGAAAGACAAGGATAGCAGTTCTAGATTTCCATTGTGGATATTCTTGGCTTCCTCCTTTTCCTAAGGTCATTTGGGTGATTGTTCACAAATGCAACTCAAGAGGGGTTTTTGTTATTAACCTCTAAAACTCCCAGAATCAAAATGTAAACCCAGCAAACATGAGTCAACACATAAGACACTCTTTGGGACCAAAGTGTTACTTCTGCGGGTCTGGTAAAGGTCACATGGCTAGAAAACAGCAGGGCTCAAGACTCTCTTCCAATTCACTGTAAAATGGGACTAGGGGTCATGTGGTGGCGGCACATGCTTTTAATCCCAGCACTCAGAAGCAGAGGCAGGCACATCTCTGTGATTTTAAGGTCAGCCTGGTCTAGAGTTTCAGGACAGGCAAAACTAGAGAAACCTGGTCTTGAAAAATCAGAGAGTGGGACCAGGGGATCCTTAGCTTGTGTTCCGAAACCTCAGAGAGAAACAAGATTATATCCTCAAGAGCCTAATGATGGCACTAGTGACCAGGAGGAGGAACAGAGCTAGGCATGGTAGTGCCTGCCTTTCACTGGCACTCATGATGCAGAGTTAGGTAGATCTCCTGAGTCTGAGAAGCCATTTAGTGGACAGGAGGCCTTAAAAGGTTAAGACCTTGGTTTGAGGCCTCATTAGTCCAGTAAAAACCTGCTGGAGCTCTCAAAAGAACTATCGTTTGGCCTTCCGAAGCCTGTAGCTCTTGCAGCATCAGGACCAAAAGCTGCCCCTTCCTTTTCCCAACCTGTAGTTTTTTTTTTTTACTTGAGAAATTTTTTTGTCCATCTATATGACTAGAACACCCAATGGCCAGGTATGACAACACACACTTTTAGTGCTATCCTAGGCTAGCTTTATCTTGGAATAGCAAGACTATCTCTCAAAGAACAAGGAGGAAACTCCAAAGTCCAGAGATACCCTGTGTAAAGGTATCTCTGATACCTTTACATGATCACGATTTTTTTTTGATTTTTTTTTTTAACACATGGCAGCAGTTGGCTTCACTATGAAGTAAAGTTCTTCAGTAGGTTTCCTATGATTCTAGAGGTAGGACAAGGGTCTCCCCAGTCTAGACACCTAGCCCATTTTATGCACATGCCCATGTGGCTTAGAGTGTGGACTTTCTGCTGGGTGAGGACGTCAGGCAACTGAACACGACACAGAAGAGAATGGCAGCCATGTGTATATTTAACAATATATATTTATAGATATCTTCTAGATCAGTACATTCAGTTTTTAACTTGTTTTTTTTTCTTCACAAACAGAAGAACTCTTACAATAGTAGACTTTCTAAAATAAATACTATTAAAATAGAGCTTCAAAATAAATATTTTTTACAAAGGAAACCTTCTGTGGTAACTTTTGTGGTGGGATGAACGGGGGCTACAGAGACACAGGAATGTGGTGGAGTGGGCGCTGGGACACAGCTCTAGTGCTGCTAACAGGAAATCAACCACAGGACACAAGAGAAAAGCAAGCTAAGAAACAGCACAGTCACCCACAATCAAAATGGAAACACAGGATCGACATCCACCATTACAGAGAGGAGAGGGCATAGAGCTACTCACCAAATGCATAAACCGGTAGGCCGGGGAAGCCCCGGACGTTCTAGTACATTGTACAGTGCAAATTTGTGCTGCTCACACATCTCAGCCATTTCTTGGAGCAGCACTGGAGACCAAGCTGCTTCAGAGTGATGGGAAACCTGGGTTCCAGCCCTGACAGACTCAGTCCGTGCTGCCTCCTTGGGGTTGTGATTCAGCTGGGCCCCACTGATACAGACTGCACTAGCTCAAAGAGCCCATCACAATCACAAGGATGCCTCCCATGTGCTGAGAAGGAAGGGCCCAACAGTAAGGGCTGCTCTTTGCTCCCTTCCAGTTGGCTTGAGAGCTTTGATTGTACCTTGGAAGGTGTTGCTAACCTAGACTCAGCCTCCAGTGTGCTTACAGGAGTACTAGCCTTTCCCTACAATGGGGAAACCAAGTAGCCAAGGTACTTTAAGCAACGCCCTGGATGCCATCCCTGGCTCCAGGCATAACTGACACCCACCCCAGGTCTAGAAGTGAGGACCAACTGGCACTTTGAAGTGATGTAACTCAGGCAAGCAAGCTGCAAATGCTAGCAAACAAGTCAGAAACAGCTACAGAAATGTTCTGTTTGTGAGAGCCTATGTTCTCAGTGCCTGCTGACTAGCCTGGGAAGGGGATGGGGGGCCCTATAAACAAACTACCCCCCTTTTTAAAAAATGTGTTTGCATCCCCCATGTGTTGGTGTTTGCCAAGAAGCCAGAGAAAAACAATGGAGCAGAGGAAAAAGGATACTTCCTTCACCCCTTCCCTTTCCACTGAGCAAGTAGGTCCCAAGGTAAACTCCTGGGGAGCAGGGGGGAGTTCTGTAGACATCATTCCCAAGCCAAAACAACAGGGTGTTGGGGGGTGGGGGAGCAAACCAAAATTCATAAAAATCCGTGTTTACAGCTATATACACAAAGTCAGAGTTTGGGAGGGGTTGCCAGGAAACAGGGTCTGTGTATGGAAGTGTCACCTGTTCATGTGCGCATACACGGCTTACAGAACTCAACTGTCCACAGAAGTGTGTAGACCAAGATCACCAAAGTGCAACTTGCCACTGGGTCAACTGTCCTGTGGAGACAAATTGAGGGAGGGACTCTGGGCAAAAGCTCCCAGGCTTCTTAGAAAGAGTGCACGTGTGCGCTATCATTTTGGGGGTTTCCCCTCCACACACCTCATCTGAGGAAAACATCTCCAAGCCCCTTCAGAAAGCTTCTAATACATTCAATTAGTGTAAGTGGTTCCTGATCTCGGGGTTTGTCTTCTATCTTTCCTTCCGATCTGTGCAAGAACATTGCAATTGTGGCAAGGGCAGTGTATGTACGGATTAGCTATAGACAATGAAGATGCAGGATTTTATACTTGCCTTTTACAAGCCAGTAAATGTTACATAAATAAAGCTGAGAATAAAACCCTCCCTTCCTCCAATCAATAAATACCTATGGTTACAATTAACTTATTCTAAATCATAAAGGTGTTACTACTACTACTAGTAGCTTCCAGGGTGGGGGTGGGGTGAATCCTTGAGAAAAGAGCAACAAGTACACTCCACTCACAGCTACCTGCCTCCTCCCTGGGAGCAGCTCACACAAAAGAACCAGAAATGTTCCACAAGACTTTTGCCTAAAGTTCTCCCATTTTTACCTGGGGTACCTCTTCTGACCCAGGCTATTTCTCGAATCAGAGGCAGGGATGGGGACAAAATACCACACAAAGAAAAACAAAACAAAACAAAACAAAAAAAACAACCCCACACAACATCTGGGGGCAAGGACCAGAGACACGATAGCTTTTTGCATGCAACAAGTACCTACCCACTGGACGTGCTGCACTTTCTGAGTCCTTTAGCACCGTGAGAGAAAGAGTTGCTACGTCTTTGGGGGCTGTTGGGAGGGGTGTGTGTGTGTGTGTGTGTGTGTATGTGTGTGTGCTGCACACAAAAAGTGGGGCTCAAATCCAGCAGCCCCTGGAGAATCGTTCCCCACCCTCTCTGGCATCTTCTGACTTCCCCACCGGGGCCTCCTAACACTAAAATAGATTCTGTCATCTCTCTATTTACATAAAGACAGACATATCACTATACACAAAAGGCTACGACAGCAAGCAGCAGAATCAGAAGAAAACCCAACCCCAGTTCGGCTCAACTGTCATTCTGCCAATGGGAGGTACGGCCTCTTCTTTGCCATTCTTGATGTGCAGGGGAAACGCTCCTTGAGGTTGCTTGCCCCCAGATTTTGAAATCAGCCCTTCCTGGGGGTGGCCCAAAAGGAAGCAAGTTGTTGTATTATTATTGTTTAAACACCAATAGCATCTAGTTTAATTAAACATATAAAAACATCATGGCTGGATCCAGAGATCACAGCCTCAGACTCATTGGCAAAATGATATTTGGTCTTGCTTGTGTCATCCTGGCCTTTTTAACCCAGCAAGTTTCTACAAAGAATCTGAGAAGAAAGAGCTCAGGACACATAGCAGGCAGGCCAGTCTGTGACTCGGTTAAGAACCGGAGGATGGCGTGATGAGCAGACACCCCCAAGTTAGTGATTGAAGCTAGGAGGATCACTGCCAGGTGGTTCCTTCTCCATCCTGCGGCTCCAGGGAGACGGCAGCTTACTGGCGATTCTGTTCTCAGCCATCAAGCACATACAGCAGGAATTGCTACGGTGTACCTTCCCAAGAGGCCAAGGCCAACAGGCATGGACAGAGGTGGAAAAGATAGAAGTCAAGACTCTGAGGGTCCTCCTCGAGGTATCTCGCCTCCCATTAGCTGTTCCTCCCAGGTAGGAGGCTCTGCTCCAGCAGGAGCCAGAAAGAATGGCAAAGTGGGAGGGAGAGTTGGGACTGGGAAGGCCATTGAGTGGCTGAATTTGCAGATTGTGTGTCCACATCTGTCTTCCATCTTCTGAAATAGGAAAACTGGCCCCCCTACCACCACACCCTGACACTGTCACTGCTGTTTTACAAAGTTTCAAGACCATGAAAATCCCCAAAGTACATCTTCATCGTTTTTGGGGACTCGAGGCTAGGCAGTAGTGTTCTCTGCCGGTTTCTTCCCAATCTAGGGTTCAGGAGAGGACAGATGAGCAAGGTCAGCCTCAGGAAACTGGCAGGAGGGACCACGGTTTTTTCATCCAAAGTGTCAGAAAGGCTTGTCGGACCTGCTGGCCTTTGTGTCCCCACTGGCTGCCTTGCAGATGACGCTGTTCGTGTGCTTACAACGGCAACCGGGGCGTCTCAGGCGGTCATAGCCGCGCTGGGCCAGCTTGACACAGCCTGTGGCCGGCAGGTAGCACAGCAGACAAGGCAGCACCACAGAGAGGGCACCCATGAAGGACCAGCGGGCGCAGCAGTTGGAGCCGGAGCAGGAGCAGGGATGGTCAGCGCAAGAGCCCTCATCATCCTCATTAGTACAGTGGTAGAAGATACCTTGCACCAGGCACATGCATGTGCCATAGTTGACCAGGGTCTGGGCTGAGCACAGACACTCCTGGTTGCAGACCCAGCAGGAGGGTAACGTCCGAGGGGACGCACACTCCTTGCACTTACACTTCCCACAGGCCTCACACAGCAAGAAGTGCTTGTCTAGCTCTGGCGGAGCTGCTGGGCCCTTGAGGTCCAGTGGCTTACAGTGGACCACCTTGGGCTGGAGGCGCACCGCCCTGGGTGAGGCCTGCTCAGCCACAGGCGGTGGAGCCATGTGATCTAGAAGCCTCTGGTCGGAGGAAGTACTGCTGCTGCTGCTTACCGAGCTGGGCCGACCGCTGAAAGAGATCCAGTGGTGAGTAACATCCTGGTCACAGCGGGCAGGTGTAGGAGCCAGCTCTGGGGCCCCACCCCGGGGCCGCTTGGGACCCGTGGCAGGGGCCAGGCTAGGGTTGTCTATGTAGTCGTTCTCCACGTGGCTGGTCTTCATCTGGTCAATGGGTAAGATGGTGAGTGGGTGCTGGAGCCGGCTGTGGGGCACTCTGCTGTCAAGGAGGGGCTGCACCATGACTGAGCTGGGATTCAAAGGGACGCCACTCTGTGGAATCGGGGGCTCCATGAGGCTGGAGGTCCTGAACTGCACCAAGAGACAGGCTTCTAGGGGTCCTAGAGGAGAGGAAGGAAAAAGAGAAAGTGGATTCCAAGCATCAATATATGACATTCCCCTCAACCTTAAGATGAGGCCTTGGGAACCCAAACTTAAATGGTCAAAAATGGTAGCAATACTGGAAGAGACAACATCTATTGGGCTGAAGTACAGCTTGGTGGTAGGGGGCTTTCCTATTGTGCCTCACAGGTTCTGGCTTTGGTCATCAGCACCACCAGGTGGGGTATGGGTGGCAGAGCCAGGCATAGTGGCACATGCCCGTAATCACAGAACTTGGGAAGTGTAAGCAAAGGGGACTAGCCTGGGGTACAAACTAAGAACCTGTCTCAAAAACAGCTTTAATCCTAACAGCATTGCTGTGAACAAGTTACAACTTCCTTTTAAGTTTTGTTTTGGGGGGTGGAATAGGGTGAGGAGTTAAGACAGGTTTTCTGTGTATGGAGCCCTGGCTATCCTGGCACTCACTCTGTAGACCAGGCTGGCCTTGAACTCAGAGATCCACATGCTTCTGGTATTAATGGCATGTGCCACCACTGCCTGGGTTAAATGATTTTTAATGTGTGTGTGGGTCACGGGACAAAACTTCTCTTAGGGGACAATATCCCCCCCCCTCCCTCCCTCCCTCGCCCCCTCTCCCTCCCTCCCTCTCTCTCTCTCTCTCTCTCTCTCTCTCTCTGTCTCTCTCTCTCTCTCCCTCCCTCCCTCCCTCCCTCCCCCCCCCTCTCTCTCCTTCCACCTTTATGTATGATGATAATGACTGAACTCAGGTCCTCAGGCTTTTGAGCAAGCATCTGTACCAACTGAATCATCTCACTCCTCCATCCGAGTACATTTTGGGGAGGGGGACAGCAAGGGGAAGGTTGTAGACCTGGGCTGGTCCCTGAACTCAACGTTTTAACAGGCTGGCCTTGAATTCACAGGGATCCGCCTGCCTCTGTAGTGCATCTTTAAAGGGGTTCTTGCAAGGATTAAATGAGAAAATGCACACCTGATACCTAACACATAGCTGGGTACATAGAAAGTACTAAACAATTCATCAATGCTTCAAAATAAAACCATTTTGATTTTCTAAGTAGACAGGGGCTGCCCTGGGCACTGAGGACCACGTAAGTGGTCAATACAACAGCTCCTGTGTGCTCCCCGGAGCTTGTGAGTGGTATAAACAAAAGCCTTGGGATACTGAGAAGGAAGGGATGCATCTGATGGCTGCTCATCCAGGACATTAGCCTGTTACTCCCACTTCCAAGAGCAGCCACCACCAGCAGCCAATAACCCCTGGGCAGGTAAGCTCCCAGCAACTTGCATGGGAAATCCTCTCAAGGGGTGCTCACATCACCCATTTTCAAGTGCTGAGCTGAACATTCAGACTAAATGCTATTTACTAGAATAGCTAAGCCAGCCCTGGATCAGTTTCTAATTTCACTGAGAGAGTGCAATTTTAAGTTGGCATCCGGCCAGAGATTCAACTGCAGTGCCTGACACGGAACCCCAGGAAGTCACTTAAATCAAAGAGCGGAAACGGCTTGGTTCAAATTTAGAAAGTGCACATTGTTTTCTATTAGAAGTGCCATTTCCTTGCCTGCTGACCTTTACATTTGGAATTCGGATGGAGATCAATTTAAAGAAATAGCAGCAGAAGGCCAAGACCTCGGTGCAAAGGAGACACAATTTGGAATCCAAAGGAAAGATTACACTGTGGGAAGATTCCACAAAGAACTTCAAGGGACTAGGGGAGGGAGGATGGAGAAGAGGAAGAAGGATCTTCACAAAGACAACACACACTGGGCTGTGTCAAGGGTGGTGTTTCTGTAAATGCCTTTTCAAGATGTTAATGACAGTTCCTGTCTCTCGTCTGTCTAAGTTTATCTTGCATCAAAGTTGTTGCCAGGGGGATGTGAGGTAGGTTTCTAGTTCTGTTTACCCCATTTGCTGAGACCAACTCAGTATCACAGGAGAGTGACACCTGGCTCCCTGGGGCTCAAACTATGGTAAATTCTCTAAGGCCATGGAGAGAAGAGCCTGAGGGAATTCACTACTATGCTTGCCCCTGCTCGGAGACAAGGGTTTGGTCACAAATAGCTGAAGCGCTTTCTCCGCATGAGATAAGGGCTATCTGCAGCATTAGTCTATACATCCTCCATGCCCCTAAACACAAAAATATCCCGTCTTCTCTACAAGGTTCAATGCTCAGTCACCAGGCAGTTCCCAGTCACACAGGACACTCACTGACTACTGGCTCTGCAGCTATTCCTTCATACACTATTTCTCTGTCTGTCTTGGATAAAATCTACCTAGTGCAGTGGCCCCCAAGTTCTCAATGAAATCAGAACTTTTTAAAAACTGTCTGTCTGTTTATTGAGATAAGGTCTCACATCACATGTTAGGTTGGTCTGAAATGTACTAATGAAATAGCCCAGGCTGGTCTTGAACTCATAAACATTCTCTTCCCTCAGCCTCCCAACTACTATGATTATAGGTGTGAGCCATCGTACACAGCTCAGAGCATCAGCTTTGAGTCAGTCTGCCTTAACCACCTGGCAAACCTGCCACTGAAGAACATTCTTTTGTCAAGACAGCTTCAAGTGAACTGTCGTGATCAGGGTTGGGAAGAAGCATCCGTCCCTGGAGGGTAGGAATGCTACCTTTCAGACAGTACACTTGTTCTAATGAGGTTCCCAAGGCCTTTCCCCTAGAAAATGTTGTTTGTGGTCAGATGACCAGCTAGTTAGAAGCCTCAGGTTCTAGTTCCAGGGTCTTTGGTTAAAAGAAAAAAAAATGTAACTTTTGCATAATATAAAGTGTCACAGATAAGACTCCCAGGTGTCAGCCAAGTAGTGTCTCAGCCAGAACCTTTCTCCTTGAGCAAGGACAACATGAACCTCTGATTCCAGAAAGCCCAGGCTGGGAACACCTGCCAACAAAATGCCTGTGGATGCTTTAAGTGGCTCCATATTGGCCCTTATAGCTAGGGTTTTTATCTCAGGACCAAGCACAGCATTGACCAAGTTGCAGGAAAAAGAAAAGCTACTCTCCTAAGCCACAGAGGCAGACTGATTTCCCCACTCTGCTTTCCCAAGCAGGATAGCAAGACTTTTTAAAAACAGCTGCATTTCTTGCAGATGAAGCAAAAAAAGCACAGGCAACTTTGAAGGATGTTTTAACAGGCCCTGGAATCAGTGAGCAGACAGACTTTCCAAGCCATGCGAAAGCCAGGGAGCCAGTTTGGAGCAGCCACTGGAGGCAGTGAGGATACTGCCATCCACAGGCTCCCATCAGGCTCCAGAGGCAGCTGTCAACATCTGGGTCAACAGTCTAAGCCAGCCTCTAGAGAGTGTGGGATCTTGGCCCCTAATGACTCAGCTCTCTCAGGACACACAGCATCTGACATTTGGTTCCAGAAGGCATGTTCAAAAAGGCATCTCCCTACCAAAACCCTCAACTCTTCCTGCCAGCATCTCAGCAAACCCGGGTGGCTGGCTCAGCTGCAGCTCACACTTGCTTAGGCCTGCCCCAGCCAGCCTCTTAGAGCCTCTGCTGAATTGATGTGGCTGACTGAGAAAGACAAACAACGTCCTAAACTGCCTGTCTGACAACCCCTCAGCACAACCCTAGGTCTATTCCCTGCCTGGCAACCCGCACTCCCCCTCACCCCCCAGCTCTGAGTTCCATTTCCAAGATCAGTCTCCACCCTGGGACACTTCCACCCCTCAGTTTGTGCCTCCCTGCGGGTCTTAAGTGCACTTCTACAGGCTCCTCTGCTTCTCCAAGGAAGAGAATTATATAATATCAATGGAGCAGGAGGCTTTGCCTCAGTAAGCTGCTGGGAAGAGTTTGATGGTCAATTTGGAAGATTCCGGATGGAAGTGACTCCAACCCTGTCTGCACTTAGCCAAGGAAGTGCCTCACAGCTATCTGATTAGCATAAGAAGGAACTTTCACGTCACCTCCCCTCAACCAAATATTAATAATAATTGCTAATAATAAGGGGCTGATATTTATGGAACACTTCCTGGTGCCAGGCTTTCTGCTGCACCTGGTCCTATATTCTCTCATTTACTCTTCCCTGTTGTTACCTTAGGGGATGGCTCCCATTCTGGAATTAGAGATGAAAAGCAAAGGGCTAGGGAGATGGCCTGGCTGGTCGGCAGAGGCCTTGTCATGCAAGGGGAGGACCTAAGCTCTGGTCCCTGAAGCACCGTTTTGTCAGATCTGTAACCCTAGTGTAGTAAAGACAGGAGACAGCCCAGTGTTCCCTGGCCAGTCACACTGCTAGATTATCACTGAGCTCAATGAAAGACCCCATCCCTATCTCCAATGATAAGGCAAAGGAACTGGAGGAACAGTTAGCTAACTAAGAGCACTTGCTGTTCTAGGAGAGGACCTGGGTTTAGTCTCCAGCACCCACATGGTGGCTCTCAATCATGTATATTTCTCATTCTAGGGAAATCTGACACCCTCTTCTGGCCAAGAACATCAGGTATGCATGTGGTACATACTAACACTCATACAGATAAGTATACTGCATACTAACACTCATACAGATAAGTAAGATAGCCATTGGGGAAGACAATACATACGTACACGGGCATGAGAGAGGGAGAAGGCACTTTAAAACACAAAGGGTCACAGGGTAGAGCAAGTGATCAGGGTAGGATTCATTTCTATACAGTCATGTGATGCTGAGGCTGAAGTCTCGGAGCTCTAGCTGACAATGATTTATGGAAACTTTCCCTACCCGAGGTGATCCATGGAAAAGTGTACAAGCACCAATCTAGCCATGGACCCTTCAGTTACCACACAACCTCCCCACCCCCATTAAGCCACCAGTCCTGGGGTGTGAGTGGAGGTGGAGAGAGAGGTTCAGTAATCCAATCAGCAGATCCATGACTCCAGATGGGGCATTTGTCCTGATCTATAGCTAAAAAATTTCAACTTAAGTCTTTTTGAGTACTCTGTCACTTCACCTTGTTTCATCAAGTGTCTGTGTCTTTATGCAGATGACTTTACAGGGTTTCACTGTAAAACAGACCTTAAAGGAAAAGGAAATACTGGGGTGAAAGGGGACTCCCTCCCTCCTCACCCATCAAGCTAAGCTTGGTGGGGAGGGGGAATGGGAGGTTCCTGAGGCAACTCTGATGAGAGGTTCCTGAGGCAACTCTGATGAGAGTTTCCAGTGCAGGGAGGTGGTGTGGGGGGAGAGCCACTCAAGGAAACTAGAAGAGGCCAGGGCTGAAGAATCAGCAAGCTCCCCACCCCTACCCCCTTTCCCATCACAGTCCCTTGATTTGTGGCTTGGTCTGGCTTCTCAGAGCTGCCTGTCTTGACCATCACTGCCAAGGGTACCTGTGTGGAGGGAACTGGACACAGGCTGCAAGAATCAAGAGGCAGGCTAACTGTTCTCACAAGCTGGTCATCCTACCCTAAGAAAGGGAGCTGGGAAAAACTGGCGAAACCTGCTGGCTGTACATTAAAATCCACAAGTCAGCTAATGACAAAATGGCAAGAAGCTCTGAATGAATGCGCAGTTTCTCTGCTGCCCATTCAGTCTTAGCAGGTTCTTCCACAGAGGGTTGTTTAACCCTTTAAACAACTCAGAATAAAGGTCTTTAGGCTGCAAGAGCCCTCCCACCCCTCTGCAACACCAATGGCTGGTCCTTTGTGACACTGTCCCAGTTTAGTTAATTAAGCTACAGCCAGATGATGACTTACTGCTTTTAGAAAGACCCTTAAGAGAGGGGGTAGGGAAAGCCAGGGACTTCCCTCCCTGGGCCTTATGGGGGAAGCCAATTTGTGAAGAACAGCCCAGTGGAAGGAAGGCAGCTGAATTTGTCTGCGGACACACCTTCACCCGCTCCCTACTTACCAGCACTAAAGAGCTCACAGCTGGCCATGTTAGGGATCACAAAAGAAAACAGTGGTCCTTCGTCCTTTGTCCCATCCCTTCCCTTGTTGTATTCTGAGCAATTTTCACCAGTTTCACATTTCTGCGTTGCTGTATATACACCCCCATACTTGTTGTCTGCCCAGTACCCCATTTAGAGGGATGAGAAGTCGTGTCACAAAGGAAAGGGAACAATGGAGCCTGCTAACCAGCAGCACCATTCATGAGCTACTGGTCCAAGCCAAAGTGTAGGGTTTGACCCAAAACCTGCAGACCCCTGCACCTGGAAGGCTTCTTTTTTAGAAGTCATCAAGATGGTCGTATTGTCTTCCTAAGCTCCACCAAGAAACAGAACTGACAATGGATTTTTAGCTCTCTCTTGGGATTGAACAGGAAATGACTTCCCGTTTTCCCAGCCAGAAACAGACTGACAAGAGAAACCGCTCTTCTACAAGTGGCCACCTGCCCCAGGGCCCCTTCCCCTCCTCCACTAGACCTAGAACATCTGTGCTCTCTCTACAACGCCTTGCTTCCTCCCTTCCTTCACAGACTGGAGGCCCTTCCTCGGTAAGGACAACCCCACCACAGCTGAACAGCAGGGCCTCTTAAGCCTGGCCACATGTCGTGGATACATTCTCCAACCTAGTCAGCTGTCCCGGATCTGCAGGGTAGCCCCAGCTCCCCAAGAGCCAATAATACCCCACCCTTTACATCATAGGTACTTCCTGTGCCTTTTATTCAAAAATGTCTTTAAAACTAGACCTTCCTCCTAGGAGTACAGGATTAACAGCAAACCCCAGTCCTAGCCACTCATTAGCAGCCCTACTGGCTGGCCCAGGTCCCTCAGGCTCTTGAAGAGTTTGTTCTCCATTAAGTCCTATGTTTACCAGCCCCTAGCCTGGTCTGAAAGGACCAATAAGACGCAAAATTTCCCTGTGTTAGCCATTGTTTCTTTTCAAAAACCTAGTCACTGTATTCTTCTCTCTTATCATCCTTCTTATTAAAACAAAACAAAAAAACCTGTTGTAAAATGGAAACCGTGGAACCTGCTTATAATACCATCACTCAGGAGGCAGAGGCAGGAGGATTGCTCCAAGTTGGAGGTCAGCTTGTCTACATGTGAAGTTCCAGGCCAGCCAAGACCTTGTTTCAAAAATAAATAAAACAAAGAACAAAACTAATCAAAACAACTCATAACTCATCGAGATAGCACATCTGCAAAAACAGCACCCAGGATTAAAGGAGGAGGCAGGGAAATGAGAAACTCAAGGCTACATGGAGGGAGAGATGCCTTAGTGGGTAAGAGCACATACTGGTCTTCAGGAGGACCTGAGTTTGGTTTCCATCACCAACATCATGCAGTTTACAACTGCCCCTCCAGCTCTAGGGGATCCAGCACCTTTGGCATCTGTGGGCAATTGCATTCACATGGGAGTACCCACATAGGTAATTAATAATAACAGGAAAAACTGAGTTCAGGATTAACCTATGCCTAGAGGACAAGACCCTGTTTCAAAACAAGCAAGCCAGCTAGCAAACGAGAAACCCTGTCCAGTCCTCCCCAGCTCCAAACATTCTAGTGGACTAAGTCAGCAGGCAGGAATCCTCCCTCAGCCGGGCATGGAACTCCCTCCTTGGGTCCACTGGAGGACAGACATCCTAGATTCAGAACAAATTAAACCCAAAAGAGGGCTCTTTTTCCTTAGGCCACCTTGAACACCCAGGCCATATCTAACAGGCATGAATTGAAGAAAAATGTTAGGTGGGTCCAGCTACACAAGTCTTTAATCCCAGCACTTGGGAGGCAAAGGCAGGAGGGTCTCTGTGTGATTTGAAGCCAACCATGACTAGATAATGAGTCCATGTCTCAGAAACAAATTAATTTTAAAATGTTATATGAATCCAAAAGCAGGGCAGAAAGATACCACATTATGGGACACTTGACAGCAGAAAGTGGAATTTAAAGCCCTTAGGTATGATCTAAAGACATTAAAACCCCAGAGTAACACATTTCAAAAGCCACTTAAGACCATGTTAATAGGTTTTGTGTCTCCCTTACGTTTGGATCGCTGATTTGCCTTCATTTGTTTTCTGTTATTTTAGAAAGTCAGCCAAACCCCTGGGCACATATAGTGCTAAGTTTTCAAGATAGTGAAAAAGAGGTATGAACTGGGCAAAGGGTGATTTCCAAATTGCCAATTCTGGAATGAGATACAGGCAAAAAGGACCCCATATGCCCAGCCTCCCAACTTCCCTGAATGGATCTGTCTATGTGCGGTCTGTCTCCTCCCACCAGAGTGAATCAAAGCTGTGGTTGAGGCTACCATTTCAGAGGGAAATGTGGGAAAGGTCGTGGGACCCAGCGAGAGAGCTGGGACATCCCAAGAGAAGGAAAGTGACTCTTGAACTTAGGTCTAAAAATTCCAGATGGAATGTAACCAAGGGATGCCATTAAAGCTCCCTCGACCTAGTTGCCCATCTAGAGTTCAGCAATCTAACTACCCACCGACACAGTTCAACTGCTCTAGCCTGGTGAGGATTTTCCTGGAACCAAGGACCCTCTTCTCAAAGAAGTAGCAACAGAGGAAATTTAAACTCAAACATGTCAACCCTACAACTTGTTTCTTTCAGAGAAAGAGTCCGAGCAACTGCAGTCCTTTCCTTCCGGACCCATTCACATCCACTAAAGCAGGGTTAGAAGCAGAAAACCTCAGATGTTTATGCTCCAGTTGTGTGAAGATCCAGAGAACTCTAAACATTGTGAAATCCAGCAGTGCAATATTGGGTAGGGCCTTAGGCCAGACGGAACTTATTAAAAGACTGATAAACCCCTATTTCCCAACCGCTCTAGGTCTCACCTTCCAGCTCTGTACCGCGTAGAGGCCTGTCAGGAAGGTTGCAGCACTGGTCAGCTTACAGAGATGTGCAGGACTCCTGCCCTCCCCAGGTTCCCTTGCCTCTCCTGAAAATGGGAGAATCACGCCACTGGTTTGGAGATACTGAAAAGAAGACTGCCACTAAGTCTGAGGACCCCCCCCCCCAAAAATCTATTTTTTCCTTGCAGCATCGCAGGGTTCTGGGACGCCTCCCTGCGCAGTAGGAGGCCTTCTGCCCTGAGCCAGGGCTGACAATATGGATGCCCAGCCAGCAGCTCTCCCCTCTACCCAGCATGCAATCCCCTCCAGCCCATGTCTCCTAGAATTCCATCCCTCAATCCTTCAAGTCATACAACCTTCTTTCTGCCTCTCGCCTCCTTTACTCACAACCCCCAGCCCCCAATCAAAAGAATTGAGAAACCGTCTTCTTGCCCAAGAGCAGCTACTGTAAATGCTTTTTGATCGTCTGCTTGGAGAGGGAATTGGGCACAGCCGTGGCCCCAGTGATGGAGCCAAGCTCCAGCTGCCCGGGTTGGCCAAGCCCGTCCTCCCCCATACCCTCCTCAATGCCCCCGTGGCCCTGGCGACTCCGAATTTTTCACAACATACCGTCTTTATCCTCTATTCTCGGTGTTGTCAAGTCTGGTACCAACAAGGAGGGAAAGTGGGCACCTTATCTCTCCTACGCACGCAACCTCTTCCTCCAGCTCCCGGCGTTATGTAAACGCACCTTCAGCCCCCACCACAGCCTTAGCGAGAGGCCCAGGGGCCCTGGGGCTTGGCAAAGATCGATGTCTGAGGATAGGGGGCACCGGGTGGTTAAGGAGCCTCAGGCCCAGAAGAAGCAAAGCAAGACAGTTGTACAGCATAAAATGAGACAGCCGAGCAAAGGTCAGACGGCCTGGAACCTCCTCGCCAAGGAGAGGAAGCAGAAAAGCTCAGTCTTTGGCTGGCCCCACGCTGACCATCCAGTAGAGAAGCATAAGGATAGGAAAGCTTGTCCGCCACGGCTCGGAACCAAGAAAGAAAAAGCTACGTCGAGCATAGGCCGCTGAGGCGAGCTGGGAAGACCCAAGGCAGAGCTGGCACCGTGGGCACGAAGCCCGGAGGTGGGCGAGCTGCCTAAACCTAGGGCGCCCCCCAGTCCCAAGCGGTCGCTCCAGAGCGAGCCCGGGGCTGCGGGTTCCAGAGCTCAAGGAGAGTGGTGGCAGGAGAAGAGGCCAGGCCAGAGGCAAACTCCCCTGACACGCACAGAGCTTCCAGAGTCGCACAGGGCGCGGAAACCCGGCTTGGCAATGCCTGGGGTCGAAAACGGTAGTGCCAGGCTGTGAACACCCCCAGCGCCGTGCCGTGCCGTGCCGGCCGGGCGCGCCTAGTAGCTGCGGCGTACCCGCAGGAGGCTCAAACCGAGGGAAGGGACACCAAAGCGGATTGAAATAGTGGACCACTGGCCCCAGCCTGCGGGGAGCCGCGTCACGGCATCGAGGGGGTACTTTTGGTTCCCCAAACCGGCTGTGGACTTACTTTGAGGAGCTGCAGAGTCACAAGCATCGCTCCACGTCTGTGTAAATCCCCGAACCCGAGTGGGTCAGTTGCCGTTGTACTCGCAGACGCCAGTCAGAGGAGCCGGTAAGGCTCCCTGAGTCCTGCAGCGCCAGCTCCGCGCTGTCAGCTCAGCTCGCTGCCTCGGCGGCGATGTTGCAACCCTTGCCTGGGAAAATGGCTTTTTTATGAATGGGAGGGCAGAGAGCTCCAGTGCGCACGCGCGTCGCTCGCGATTCTATGAATGGGTGGGCACAAGCGACCCCGTGCGCGCATGCGCTAGGCTCCTTTTTTTATGAATGGGGGGCCGGAAAAGAGCTTAACCCGTGATTGCTGGGGCCCGCAGTTGCTCCTCCTGGGGCCGTCGTTCTTTTACAAAGAGGGGTGGAGGTTGTTGTTCGTTTTTTTTTTTTTCTTCTTTGTAATGAATGGAGGGCGGCGGCGACTGCAGCAGCTGGCTTAGCTGCGTGGGTTGTACCCTCCTCCCAGCCTGCGAGAGGAGGTAAAGGCCACCTTCACGCCACTGCGGGCTTGGACAGGAACCGTCAGTGTGACTAGAGGGTGGGGGGCGCTGCGGCCTCCCGATCCTGGGCTCAGCGCAGGGTGGGGGAGGACACACCTCGATTTGCGTATCTCTTGTCACCACAGGCGATGGGGAGGGGAGCCTGAGGACCCCTGCTGGGGACCTTCTCTTTTTCAAGATCTGTGGCGCCTGGGGACGTCGGGGGCAGGGACCTTCCAGCCGCGTTTGCCAAAAATTAAGAAAATGTCCTTTGTCTTTTTCAAAGAAGGGCAGGGTGGGGGTTGCCTAGTGAATCTGGCTCCCTTTCTAACTGCAGACCACTCCTCCTCCCATTTCTTGGGTGTGGACAGTATCTGGGCTGAGGCCTCTTCCGGCTCTAGTACCCCCCGGGGCGATTCTGTCCACTCAGCCAGAGGCCTTGCCCTCACCTCTCTGCGCCCCGCCTCTCCCCCGCCCCAGTGTAATGTCCGCAATGCCCGGAGCTTCCGCCCGCCCTCTGCTGCCCTGGCTAGGTGCCCCCTTCACTAGTCGCGTCCTTGTCTTCCAGTCCTTCCAGGCCTTTGTATTCTTGTGGCTCTCTCCCCTTTGTTATAGAAGGCTGTTTTCCCTAATGCTCTCTCCACTTCGCTTCCCTAAAGAAATAGGGAGAATTGGCCAGGTGGATGGGTGGAGCAGTTCGCGGCAGGATGCTGCCAGGATGGCTACCGTATTAAATAACAGGGCTCTAGAGCCACAGAGGGAATGGCCAGAAAAGCCCCATCCATTAGGCGCTCCAGCATCAGGCCCAGCTCCGTCCAGTAACCTGGAAGCCTGGAGTCGAGGTGGCTTTGATGCAGTATAAGAGCTGGTTCTCAGTCTGAATCCCCGGCAAGATATATCTTGCTGGTGTTTGGCCTTCATGGGTTGTAAGGCTTTTCCTCCTACGCCATCATAAGACTGCGCTTGGCTGCTGTCAGAGGAACCAATTGAAAGACTCAGCCCACTGGTGAGGTCTGGCCTGGGGCTGGGGCTTGGGCTCCATCACAAGCTGTTCAGACCAGAACTCAAGGTCACTGTGTCCTAGCGTAAAATGCCTTCGCAACACTCAGACTCATGTCTCAGTGATTACTTACTCAGTTCCTGGGACCAGAACAGACTCTCCCACGGAGCCTCAGCTTCCTTCCTGGGACAGAACCTCCATCCAGAGCCGGGGGTGGGGAGTTGGGGGTGGGGATACTTTCTCCTCTGTACTTATCACTATTCCCATTTGTCAGATCTGGAAATTGAAGCCAGAAGTCCCACTTCTGGTGACTAGAAGGACAAATAAATGTGCTGAATTTCAGGGCTTACAACCCAATTCTCTCTACATTGAGTCTAACCCCTCTCCACCGTCAGGGGTCGAGAAACCTATTACTTGTCATTTAAGCAGCTAAACAATGACATTTTTCCAGTTGGTTTCACCCGTAGCCCTTGTTCAGTTTCAAGGATGAGAATGAATAACTCCTTTTGTAAACTGTGGCGGGAGGAGAAGGGATGGGATGCTTCCTGATCCCTTCATTTAAAAAGTAGCCAAAACACAGGGTTCCACTTTGTGATTCTGTCCTGAGGGAGGGAAATGCCCAGCCCAGGGGAGGAGCAGGAGCAGCTTCAAGCCCACCACCCCTGCAGTGTCAGTGTGGTTAGAGTGCCTGAGAGACACTGGCCAGCAACAGCTTCTGAGGAATCCATTTGCTTGTCATATGCTGCTGTCTGCGGTGATGGGGGCTCATGGTAGGGGACAGATAACCCTCCTTGCCCTTGTGAAGCTCTGTCTTTTAGGGCACAGAGCAAGTGCAATTTGAGCATTGAAGTAACCCTCTCTGAAGTCATGGAAATGAACCACATGAAAGGGGGTATGCTTGCCTGTGTGTCTGTGGGAGGGTGTGCACTTGTTTGTGGAGAACAGAAGTCGATCCTTGAAAGAATTACATTTATTTTTTTTTATGTGCGTGAATGTTTTGCCTGCATGGATGTATGTGTATGTAAGTCACAGAAGTGTGTGGTGCCTTTGGTGGTCTTACACTGCTGGGTTCCTGGGAGTAGAGTTACAGGTGGTTGGGAATTGTCAGGTGGATGATGAGAATCAAACCTGGGTCCTCTGCAAGAGCAAGGCATGCTCTTAACCACTGAGCCACCTCTCCAGCCTCAAGCCCTCTCGATGAAATGAACCTGGAACTCACTGCTTAGCTAAAATGGGTGGATAGCAAGCCCCAGGGATCCTCCTGTTTCTGCCTCCAGGGGGCTGGTATCACAGGTGTGTGTGTGTGTTTGTCTTTTTTATGTGGATTCTGGGTATCTAGACTAGGTCTTCATGCCTGCAGATTCTTAGTTAGGGTTAATATCGTGATAAAACATTATGACAGAAGCAACTTGGGGAGGAAAGAGTTTGTTTGGCTTTCAAGAGTCACAGCCTATTGAGAGAACCAAGTCAGGAACTCAAATAGAGCAGGAACCTGGAGGTTGGAGCTGATATGGAGGCCATGGAGGGGTGCTGCTTACTGGCTTGCTCTTCATGGTTTGCTCAGCCTGCTTTTTTGTAGAACGCAGAACCACCAGCCTAGGCATGGCACCAGTCACAATGAAGGCTGGGCCCTCCCCTATCAATTTTTTTTTTTTAACTAGTTAAGAAATTAGTCTACAGGCCTGATCTTATGGAGGCTTTTTCTCAATTGAGGTTCCTTCCTATCAAATGATTCTAGCTTGTGTCAAGCTGACACAAAACTTGCTAGCACAGAAAGCAAGCGCTTTACCAACCGAGCCGTCTTCCTAGCCACCCGGGTGACAGATTTCAATGTAGGTGCCAGGAATCATCTCAGAAAGGAGTCTGTGGTTTTGAATTGCAATTGAGGGCTGAGTGTGAGTCCAAGGACCGTTAAAGCATGTGTTAAGCAGAGGTGTCAGGGTGGCGGCACCATCACAAATGGGCAAAAGCCCGGCATGTGGGCAAATTGAACAAAAAGTCTTTGGCCAGACTTGATGAGCAAGGAGGAGGAGTTGTAAGCAGGTGTAACATCCAAATTTAACTTAAAATTAACCCCAAGGTTGGGGTTCCAGGGGACAAGAAGACAGAATGATAGTGGGGGATCAAAACATTTGTTCTTCAGCAGGTGGAGGACCTCACATTAACTATTGTAATCTGGGCAGCTGGTAGGCTATGCACATGCATGCCAAACTGCCCAGTGGTTGCCCCTGGAATAACTTTTTTTTTCCAGTTTTGTTTTTCTAACAGCAGATTCTAGCAGTCATTCAGCCCGCCTGTGCTGATGTCTGTCTTTTTACTAAGCACCAATATAATTACAGTTCATCCCCCCCAGGTGGAATGGCTTCAGTTCTAGGCTTTTGCCCTTTTACCCAGGATCCAGGTGACATGTTTGAAGATGGAAGAGAGGCTGAAGTTCCAATTCAATGTCAGACGTTTAGCCTTCTGTTTGTTGATCCTGTCCTCAGTGTAGTTTTTCACCCCGAGCTTTTTGTTGTTGTTGTTAGTTTGGCTTTTGTTCAGGGAGTCTTTTATTATGCAGCCTATGTCAGTCTCCTACTTTGGACCCTCCTGCCTCTACCCACGTGATCTCCATGTATTACCATGCTCAGCTATATTTACTTGTTCGTTCGTTCGTTCATTCATTCATTCATTCATTCATTTTCCAGACTTGGTTTCTCTATACTAGCTGTCCTGGAAAATACTTCTGTAGACCAGGCCGGACTTGAAAGAACTCAGAGATCTACCTGCCTCAGCCTCCCAAGTGCTGGGATGAAAACCATGTTCCATCACTGCCTGGCTTCAGCTATAGTTCTTGAAAACGTGTGTGTGTGTGTGTGTGTGTGTGTGTGTGTGTGTGTGTCTGAGGATCGAATTCTGGGTTGGTATATAATCAGCAAGATCTCTTAACTGATCTACATCTCCAGCACTGTAGTGTTTCTTTGGAAAACTGTATCCTGGCCAAGGTTACAACTAGAAAGGAGGCTACAAGTAGAAAGATTGCAAATTCAAGTCCTGCTTGAGCTATGGGATGAATTCAAAGCCATCTTGGGCAACTTAGAGACTATTGTCTCCAGATAAAAACTGAAACAGGACTGAGATATAATTTAATGGTAGAAGATTTGCTTAGCAAGCATACAGCCCTAGGTTCAATTCCTAGTGCTGGAAAAGAAAGAGGGTAAGGTGGGAAATGCCTGCCATTGTGACACAGCCCTTTTGTCCTGGCACTCAGGAAGCAGAGACAGGCAGAGCTCTGAGTTCAAAGCCTGCCTGGTCTACATAACAATTTCCAGGCCAGCTAAGGCTACACAGTGAGATTCTTCTGAGAGAGAGAAGAAGACGGAGACACACATAGAGAGAATCTTGATGGTTTACAGATCACCTGTAAATTGTAGCCCTGAGTATGATGAGGCAAGAGAATGATTGTGAGTTCTAAGCTAGGCTGAGCAACATAGCTATGTTGTGAAGTAGAAGGTAGCCTGGGCTACATTAAGGGCCTTATCTCAAAAAGGAGAAAGAGAATGAAGGAAAAGTCTTATCTTGGTGTCTTAGTTAGGGTTTTATTGCAGTGAACAGACACCATGACCAAGGCAAGTCTTTAAAGGACAACATTTAATT